GTGTTGAGCCAGCCTCAGGAAAGCAGGGCTCCATCACGCGTAACGGTTACTTGGGAAGACAAGGCGCCATCACTCCAAATGTCCCCCCCCTTCCTTCTTCTTCCCCCAGCTTATATACTGAGCATGATGCCATACGGTATGGAATAGCCCTTGGGCCAGTCTGGGTCAGCTGTCCTGGCTGTGCTCCCTCTCAGTTTCTTGTGCACCGGGCAGAGCATGGGAAGCTGAAAAGAAAAGTCCTTGTGTAAACTCTACTCAGCAAGAACCAAAATATCAGTGTGTTATCAACATTATTCTCATCCTAAATCCAAAACACAGTGCTCTACCAGCTACTAAGAAGAAAACTAACTCTATCCCAGCTGAAACCAGGACAGTATTCCAGTGTTTTCAATAGTTAGATTAACCAGAACACAGTGAGTGTATGGTAAAAATCAGATTGAAATGTATTTTTTCAAAAAGAAAAAAACAGAAGGGATCATTTTGTCAGTGATCAGATTTCAAAAGTGAGTGTTGTTGCAGGACCAAATTTCAAAATTCAGTTGAATGTACTTAGAACTCCCATTCAGTTTAATATCGTTATATATTTTCTGTAGTTATAGTCACAGTAAACGAGGAGGAGTTAAAGAGGTGCAGTTCTTCATTAGCAAGTTCTTTGCATAGATGGATCTCTGCGCCAAAGTCGCAAGAATGTGTTTTTGCCATGAGGACTGGTGGGTTTACATCTGCTCTGCACTGGTGGAAATGGCTGTTGGAATCACAGGGCACTGGAGAAGCTGCCCAGCAGCAGAACTATTAATTATTATTTTTAAAAAAGTCTCATCTTTAACTGTTAAAAAAATGTTTTGAATTGCCTTTATGGCCTATGCAAGAACTGACAGTTACTATAGTATTTTTTCTGCCTTAGGGATTCAAAAAACTTGCCTCCATTTTACTTTTATTTTTTCCAAACTGGATAGTGGCATTTGTGAATTTTATACATGTGTGGTTTTTATGTACGTGTCCCTCAGCTATTCTAACAAAAGACTATAATTAAACATTCAGATTTGCCCTGCTCTTTGTCATACACCAGTTAAGTCTGGGGGGTTTGCCTTTGTTGAATTAATGGTATGTTATTTTTAGTTGTGTATGTAAGATGAAACCAGAAGAGTACTGAACGGAAATGGTCTATTGATACTGTTTAATGCTATAGCTTTCTTAAGGCTTCAAATATAAATAAAAGTAAGTTATCTGTTATATATTATCCTTTTTTCTCCCATCACTAGGAAACACAGGATACTGAGGTGTCCCCAGTTTCCAGAGAAGTGCTCATTACCTTCAAATCATATTGGTTAAAATAGGAAGTTCCCTTTGATTCCAGTAGGATTTATCAGCAGCTGGCATCTCTGTGGAGCAGGAACATTTTTCTGAACCTTCTTGTGACCTACAGAAAGTCAGTGTTGGTCTGCAATGCTCAGGCTATACCCAAGGCTACAACTGACAGCTAATGAAAGCCTAATTGATATTATTTCTTCCCTAGAGTGTTTTGTTTCAGTCAGCGCACAGGATGAAGAGAGCAAAGTGGACTGAGATGAAGTCAGGCTATGAGCAAGGGAATGAATGGCTAGAAAAGCCCACAGTCTTTCAGATTTTCTTTGATTATTATGTCTGTGACTGCATCAAATACAAACTTGACATTCTGGGTGTCTGTGGCACATGTCAGGTGAGAATATATCTCTTTATCTGCTTTCCTTGTGTTCAAGTCTAGGAATTGTTTCTTGATGTAATTTCCAGCATCTTCAAATGTATTTAGTCCTAGTGGAGAGAACAGTAAAAGAAAGAGAAGACACATTTCAAGTGGTACTTCCCCACAGCTGCTAAGAAACAAGAATTCTTTTTTTGTTTTTTTCTTTCTTTCTTTTTTTTCTAAAGGGAATTAAGTTCATGCATTAGGTATGAAAATTTTGTACCTAAACTGCCCACCTAAATTTGAATTTCAATGCCTAACCAAAGTCCTTAGTTCTGAAGTGAAATGTTCTTGAGTAAGTCAGTGTGAAACAGTTAAGGACCTTAGAGAGGGAGCAGAAAGTAAGAGAAACAGAAGAGAAAAGGAAAGAGCATAAATTCAAAGGGAATAGGGTAGATAGACAAAATTGGTGGGAAGTACAAAAATGATGAGATGAAGAAATGAAGAAAGAAAAAGAGTAAAATTCAGATGCTTATGTATTCAGTCATAATTCATGCGGCTTTTCTGCCCAATGAGACTCCTGGAGGCAGGGTGCTGCTGAGAGCCCTTGCTGGCTCCCATCCTGTCTGAAGCCTCAGGCAGTGTAAAGTGGTGTAGCTTCACTGAGTCTAGTACATAATGTTTGATTATCCCAGTGAAGCACTGAGGAATTTTGGGTTGCTGTGTTGATGTGTCCTGAGAAAGGGCGCAAGGGAGATGGTTTTCAGGAAGTGCACAGAACCCATCTTCTAATAATAATATTGCTTTAAGTATGTTTCATTCTGGACACTCCCTATCCCAAATACATTAGATAAATAATAAAATACCATCAGATTTTGGTTTTTCTCTGGCACTTTCTGACATAGCCTCATATATTCTTTTGTATCAGCTGGGAACAGCTGCTGTTTTTTATTTCCAGTAGACACTACTGTGACATACAAAAAAGAGGCAGGCTTCCTTCATGGAATGAGTTTTCAAAATAGGGACAAAAAACTTGGATTCAGTTATGGTGTGTGTGAGTGATAAGCCACTGACTTGTACTGAAATATTGGCTGGGTTCATCACACCACACTTCAGCCATCTGAAACTTCTAGTTCTCTCAGCTTCCTCTACTGCCAATGGAGAGAAATAAGCATCTCCAGAAAGAGACGACACCACCAAAGGATAAGCATCATAGGTAGGTGAGATGAATTGGATTCTGGATACCATTCTTTTAAGAGAAAGGCTAGATGCTTAGATAAGGTGCTTAGTATTTAAATGGTTATATATATAGGTGACCCGAGTCAAAGTCTCAGTCTTTAATGCATGGCCTACACTAATCATCTGAATGTATTTTCTTCTGAAAACCCCAAACTTACCATTATACTCAGGAAAGCAGATATTCAGGTGAACTTTTGTTATTTTCTCTTGAAAGAGGTCTTTTTTGTTTAGAAACAGCACAATGGAAGTGGCTGCAAAGCACTTGTGGTTGCAGATGCTGTTGAACAGCTGAAGGCTTTCATGCATCCTGTTCTGTTGAGATGCAAAAGGTAAACACGAGAGACTGACAAATCTCATCCCCATATGTCATTTTTACTGTAATGTTCTTTACTGGCAAGAACCAGTACAGCATAATAGCCTTTAAATGGTTATCAGGGAACAGGAATAGTTCTGATATGCCATCAAAGAGTACATTAAAACTTAGCAGCAAAAAGGGTTGTTTGTCTCTTCTGACTCACCACTTCTTTATCTTCCACCAGAACCATGTCATAGGCACTGAGTGCAGCACAGAATATGATGCAAGTAACTCCCTCAAAGCAATGAATCCACTTTTTTCTCTCTGATCGCTGTCCACCCACATCAAACATCCTTTGCAGAAAAAATAACATATGTACAATGTAAAGCACTAGCTAATAATGATGTAGTCATACTGTTAATGTGCAGAGTGCAACTGGAGATGAATGGCAATGAAATATCCAGCTTTTCCAAACATTGGTCTGTTTCTATCCCAACAGGTCAAGGAGTACTATGTATTACTTACAGCTTTGTAGTGGGCATAAAATGAAACGTAAAGGCTTAAATACCTGCATATAGGGAATACATTCAGCAGTCTCAGGTGGCACTCCGTGTTGAGGAAGTGGGGGTCTGCATAAGAGCTCAGTGCAGGACTGAGCCCTGCAGGCAAGGATTTATTCAGGACAGGGTTCATACAAGAAACATTGACAAAAGACCCTCAAATCCACAGCCATTTGTTACTTCATCATTTTGCCTGTAGTGAACTGACACATAGATCAATAAGGCATACGACTGGAAGTTGGCATGTTCAGCTGTGTAACCTGCAGCATACATCTGTGTGTGTGGGGTCGCTGCCCCATTAATCTCATTAGTTGCTGTTTAAGGAGCAGTTCATGGGGAGCAGGGATCCCTTCATTTGTAGAGAGGACAATGCAGGGCTGTCCTCCTCTGCATTAATTTCCTTCAGTCTTTGCCAGAAATTACTACCTTTGGGTTAGAGTTGTAGGAACTTTTTATGGACTCTCTGTATGGGGTCCAAAGCCAACTGAGCATAGAATCATAGAATCGTTAAGGTTGGAAAAGACCTCTGAGATCATCGAGTCCAACCTGTTAACCTAACTGCATATCTAGCTGGGACCTAGTTAGGGCCCTAGTTAGGGCCCAACTGAGATGGAGCTGTCATCAAAGCTACCATTGTTCTGCTTAGCACTGGCACTCAAAATTCCCTCTTATATTTGCAGTTCCTCAGTGATAAGGGATAGGGCTTTCTTTTCACTGTTTTTCTGACATAAAAGGTGCCAAACTTGAACATTTTTCAAGTGCATTGGAAAGGAGAAAAAACATGTAAAAGAAATTTATCCTACCCTTACTTTTTCTGTTTCCTTGTGTGCATGATGACTTTTCCCTGTGCTGCCTGTTGTTGAACTTAAAACTGTAAAACCTAATCCCCTGTTGCATTATCCCTTCCTTCAAGAAAATGCATTATATCTTACTCTCTGGATGTATCTCCTGCAGTATCTGAAAATTAAACACAACTCAATACTGGAATTCAGTATGAAAAAATCATGTCAGTAATAAAGAGAGCAAGAATAATTTGTTACTGAGACACCATTTTTTGCAGTATATTGATCCTCTGTTTTCTTCACCATCAGCGATGCAGCTGATGGAAATAAAGGTTATTGTTTATCATTTTTCATCCTGCTTAGAAGAAATGAAACCCTTCCCAATGCTCCTGATGAACTGTTTCTGCGGCTGAGGAGTAATGAGAGAAAATTAGTTTTTTTCTAGTACATTTAATCTCTTTGTCCAATCATTGGGTGTCTATAAATGTGAATTATGAGGAAATCAGGAAGCTGTTGTGGAGCAAGATTTTGATAACAGTAATGGCATTCTTCCCAGCATATCTTCACTTCGGTACGCCTACTGAAGAGTGAGGTCGGTATGAATAAAGCATCTCGACTTTTGGCTATGCTTAGTGCCCAAAAGTCACCTGCCATTACATGTCTTCCTTGATTTGTGGTATGTAACTCTGAAATCAGGATTGGGGGGGGGGGGGGAAGCTTCAAAATTTAGTCTGCAGTAAAGTTTCACAAGCATATATAATCATATGAATCCGTATTCAGTTCCTGCAGGCTTTTAGCATATGGTCCTGTGAATATTCATGAGAAGTCAGTTAAAACAGGACAAGATCAAGGCCAGAGGCAATGCTTATGGGCAGTTTTTGTTGTACTAACCTTAGTTTGCTTAGCTCTTCTCGTGTCAGCCCAGAACTTAACATACGCACATGTAAAAATGAAGTCCCTCTGTGAGTGGTAGAAAATGTATTTCTGAGGTGATCTTTTGCTTTTACCAAGACAGCCTAAGAAAACTTAGCTGCAGATATGGGACTAGCTGTATATTCATTTGTCCTAATGGTACATATAGTGAGACCTGAAGACTAAAATAAAGCTTGCCTGATTTCAGTCAAACTCTTCCTAGCACGTAAATGGAAACGACAACAGGAGAGGACCTGTGAAGATCAGACCTTCTTTTAAAAATATTTAAGTATGTTCTGAGCTCTGGAAATCAAAGTCAACATTAGTGAAATAAATTGAAGAGCACAAGAAAGCTAAATTACACTAAACCAGCAAGGTAACCACTAAGAAGATAGAAAATAACAAGAGATGTTTTCTGTGCAACTGTAATTCTGTTCCCTGGAGCAGTACTGGGATTTATGCTTTTACTGCACAGATACAAAATGTTTTCTGCCTCATTCAGTTCAGAAGAGGGACAAGTGTTTAGTGAATGAGGCATCTGTTCATGTTTTCTTTTTATCCATGTATAGCTTGTGACCCCAAGCCTCATCTAAGTACATCAACCAAAACTCTCTCTGAATGTGGAAGTGTTCCTCTCTTTATAGATGTTTCTATGGTACTTATCAAACTAAGTGCAGAGTCATCAGGATCCCCCAGCTGTTTTGCGCTGCTCTGGCAATGCAAAGTAGCAGTAACTGGCTAGTTAAGATGGATTTATAGCTGCTCTGCATCCCTCTGGCAGCTCAAAACCCTCAGGCTATTTTGTAGAGTTTTTACCTCATACTACTTAAGTGCCTAAAACCACCAATGAATTTATTCACATAACACTACCGTGATGCATAGCAGAAAGGCTAAGCACAGTGATTTTTTGTGTTTGTGGTGGCATTAGGAGCCTTCGTCTTGTTTACAGACACTCAGGTAACTTAATTCTCAGTTGTGTTGCATTTTGGTTGTACCTGGACACCAGTTCTGGTATTCTAATCTCAGGACTGGTAGCATTCATGTCAAAAAGGGTTTGCATTCTGATGATTTCTTTCTCCACCCTGTTTTTGGTTTTATTTCTTACATAAACTGTGGTTGTAACTGAAGGTGCTCAGATTTCCAATGTACAAAGCTGTCTGGAAATATGCTAATCAGAGAAAAAGATGATGTCTATGACATTGCACCGTAACATTTGTGCATAAGTGCTGAATTTTTATGAGTGGTCAGTGTATTAATAGGTGATAATAATTTATTTGTAGGGCCTCTACTTCAGGATCTTATTTTGTATATGTAAACTCCATTGTGTAAAAGCATGTGTGGTAGCATAGATGGTTTGGGGGACATTTAATTGCCACATGAAAAAAAAAGAAGCCCAATGAAAAATGTAAAAGTTACAGTCCTGGTGCTTTATATTTCTATCTATCTCTACAGACAGTTTCTTGTCTAGACTACATTCCTCAATATGCACCTCAGCCTTTAAATTAAGAATTAAATGGAATTCAGTCCGTAGAGAAAAGCATTGTAGAACACTGAAACTATCATAATTCATTCAAATACATTTTCATGTGGAATTAGATGTTTTTAATTGATTCACCAAGCATAACAAAATCTTGAGTATCTGAAAGTGTCCATTATTTTCAGTCAAATTTCTCAGAGACATTATTTTCAAGATCTTTTTCTGAACATTTTGCTTTTTGTCTTAAATGAGCATGAAGGCATGCATGCTAATACTGAAATTTCCCATGGGACAGAAATTATTATCTTTTTGCCAACTGTAATGCATTCCAGTGTTAAGAGCAGTTATTTCTGTTCTCAAAAGAAGAGAGTGAAAGGTTGAGAGTGCATGCAAATTAGCAGTCATCAAATGTTTTGCATGCTGTTAAGGACATTTAGGTAGGCAAATTTCATAAATGTCACAAACAATTATTCAAATGGCAGGATACAAATAATGCTTTTTAGACACTTATGTAAAAATGTCCTTTTAGAACCTGATATTCTGAGGTCTCTTAATGATCCATTATATGCTTAAAGTTGGAGCACTGGTACTAAAATATCTTGCTTTTTTGGCTGTTTCAAAATACTAAATAAGAGTGGATTCAAAGATATCACAATGGGATTACCAATATTATAATAGGTCAATACCTTTGAAAAAAAAATACTTAAGAAAGATAAAACCACAGAAAACTGTCAAATATGGCTTTCGTACCTGAAGTTCAAATCCTTGAAAGAAAACTGAGTCTCTATAATCCCAGTTGTTTTCACTCGGGAGCGCAAAACATCTTGCTCACTGGGCACATAGTCTGGCATTGCTAACCTATCCAAAGCGTTGAGGTAACTAAGGAGAGTAAAAAGAAATGGTGACTGGTGAATTCAAAAGGTGAAATGAACATTACATAATCACTTCATATTGAGCTGCTTTTAAAAATTTTATGTAACGTACACATTTGAGTACAATACTATTGTTTTTTATACCACCTATATCCACAATCCAGAGCCTTTCTTTTTTTTCTTTTTTTTTTTCCTTGTATATAGAAGTGTAATTTAGTTGCATATAATAAACATCTTTCTGAGAATTTCAGTTCAACAAAATCCTTATTTTCCTCAGGGATGCTAAAAAAACACCTTGTCAGGAAAAGGGTTTTGTCCATTTGCTTTCAGCAAGTGGGAATTGCCACCACAGGGCAAGAACCGCAAGCATCTTTCAGAAGCAGATTTACTGGAAGTTATTGCAGCCTATCAGACCTGTTGTAACAGTATCTTCCTTCCTAAGTGAAAGGGAGGGTGCAATATTTTGGAGGAATTCACATTTAGGGGCTGTTTTGCCTGCAGACACATGCAAGGTACATGGTAATTTAAAAAAAATATATATTTTGTCATCAAAACCAGAAGTTTCAATGAAGCTGAGGACCCCCTAGGTTAGTATTCTCACAGCCCCCTGGCAAAGAGTGGGTTGTCTGGTTTTATGTCTGGCATACAGAGGCAAAATCTGCATGAAAGCAGAAGCCAAACCAGATCTTTGAAGCTTGTTCTTGTCCTGTCACCAGCCCTTCTCCTGTCTTTTCCAGGGGCATGCAGCTTTCTTGAAATGGCTGGACAGAGCCTATGAATCCTACTGGCTGGTCTGCGAACCTGTGTAAAGAAGTTATGAATTGACAAAAGGAAGAGAAGAGGTGATGTCTGGGTAGCTTCCTACCTTTTAACTACTAATACTCAAATACAGAACAAAGCCAAAAGCAAGAAGCCACATACAATAGTTGAAGCATTTTCAAGCTTTTGGTGTCCCAGTTGGCACCTTTCCATTTGTAGCCTCTTGTCTCTGACAAACAAAACATGGTCTCTCTAATGTTTATTAGGCTTCACGCCTTTTTTTTTCTTCTCTAACACAAAGTCTGCCCGGCACGAAGTTCTGCTGTTCAGTTTAACCAGACAACTACCAAAACAAACTTCACAGCTCATCATCCTTGTCTGCAATATTTAATACATCTGTAAGTAATAAAATAAAATAAAATAAAATAAAATAAAATAAAATAAGATAAAATAAAATATTTTTTTAAAAAGCTAGAATCTTCCATATGGAGATTTTTGCAAGTAATGCTTGGAAACAGGATTTTCTTATTTTAAGTTGAATAGACTGAATCTGCTTGGCAAGGAGTGCTGAAATTGATCTGAGTAATTCAATGTTTGCCCATTATTTGGGTCCAGGAAACAATCTGTTTTTAAAAAAATGCATTATAGCTCTGGTTCTCTGAGTAGGGCCTGAGGCAAACTCATCTCAGCTCACCTTTGTGGAAGGCAGAAGCAAAAGACCTTTTGCAATTTATAAAGCATGTAAGCACTAAAATAAACACTTGTATATAAAATTCATTATAAAGATCTGATAGTTCTTAGTCACAAATACCTAAATTCAATTCAACACAGACAATTATAATTGCATAAAAAATTAGACCAAGTTAATTATCTAGTTAATGGAGCAAGAGAGGCATCTTCAGATTCTTCCCAGAGCTGTAGGCAGCTCCCAGGGGATACTCTGCAGGCCGGCTCTCCACTGGCAAAAGAGGGAACGCAAACTAGTAGGTTAGTCTAAATGACTGATCTTTCCTTGGCTTGAATTAGGTGACACAAATCCTACCCTGAGAGGCAAATGACTGAGCAAGCAAGAAGCACCGTGTATGACTGGTAGCTGTACAATGACATTTAAGGTCACAATTTAGAATCCTGGTTTTGCCCCTTCCTTACCCATCACTCCATCTTAAAACAGGATTAATTCCAGGTGAGTCTAAGGAAGAAATTCCAGCCAAATTTAACATACCGGGTATTTTCTATTATTCAGAAGATCTCATTTTTTTTCAATTAAAACACACAGAGGAAAGGCAGTGATCAAATATGTTAGCATGAATTAATAATGAAAAGACTCAGAGAATAACCTCAGAAAGTCAGAGTTTACACAGTATAAATCAATACTCTGTGTAGGAGCTGAATCACAGGAGTGAGAAACAGGGTTTTGGTTTTAAAAGAAATTGAAAGGTAGCATTAGATGGTTGATTGACTCTAGCTGGTTTTGAAATGATCATTAGAAGCCCAGCAGCAAGGGCAAAAATTAAGTTCATTTTAATGGTTCAGAGCCAAAGGCTAGATTTTCAGAAGTATCAGGTACCGACAGATGAACACAGAGGATTAGCAGGATTTTTGGATATGTTCAAGCAGATGAAAAATATGCCACTGTTGTTTTTAATGTAACTCTAGCAATAAATAGTGATTATTGGCTCCTTTACAGCCTGTACTAGCTCCCTTAAATACTGAAACCCACTGCAGGTTTAAACAGGACACAGCCCTTAACACTGAGAGGGAATTACTTTAGACCGTCCTATCTTCATTTTAGGCAACAAAACCGAATATGCCAAGTATAGTGAAAACACTAGAATGTTAGCTGGTAAACAGGTAATAATTTTTTTTTCTGCATTAGGGTTGTTTGCTTGGTTGTTCGGTTTTTTAAATTTCAAGAATTCTTTTTCCTTTTAAATATGATGACTGACTTGTTACAGGCTTTTAGTACTGGGAACTGCAGTGTGGCCTGTCAGAAAGGATATGTTAGGAAACAAAAGATTTCTCCGTACTATTCCTATAGAAATACAGGGCTGCCATAAGATACTGCCAAATCAGGCACAAATCAACACAGGCAATATTTTCTTTGTTTAGGTATCTTGCAGAAAGGTCTTCATTCTTATTTTGAAGATATAAAGACATGAAGAATTTTTAATATTTCATGCATATCTCTTCTACTATCTGCAATTAGTGAGTGAGCTATTACTGCCTTTGGTTTGCCTGGCTCCTGGCCCAGACTTGAATCATGCCTTCCCTGTAGAAGGGACACCCAACACCTCTGCAGGTGCCCTCAGCCTGTAGGAGGAGCTGAAGGAGCGGGGAAACCTCCAGCTGCAGATCTTGGAAGACGGACCTCAGCTGGAACAACCCTCTGCCCCAGGTCTAGAGTCAGAATTATGCACTCTAGGAAAACTCCAGCCCAGGTGACACCTCCCTTCTGGGTCTTGTATGACCTTACGGACAAAGCAGCAGAGCAGGACCACTCAAGCCTGCAAGAACAGCTGTGGAAGCAACCAAACCAAGGACTCCTGAAAAGTCTAAGCTTACTGACTGTATCTAAACTAGGAGATGTGCCCCAGCGGAATGCTGACCCTTCATGGAGTCGGAGCTGAGCAGCCCGAGTCTCCTGCTTATGTGCCTGCCACCTCCCAGGCCGCAGAAAGGGAACCAGGGCTGTCAGGCTGGAGAGTGGCTGCAGCACCACTGGCCAAGACCAGCTGGATGCTGAGACGGTAACGGCCCAGGGAACAGCCACCCATGCAGCCAGATTAGTTTAGAGGAAACTTTTTATAGCTTTCTCCAGACTTATGTTTAGCAGCTTGAAATTTATACATTCGAAGTACAACTCCAGGTAAAACCTAAGCTGTTTCAATTCATCTTTTCCCTCATTTTGTCAATCTTAGAATTACCTAGAGAGAGAACAGACTTTTTTTTACAGTTTAAACAATCTCACAGAAACAATTTTTTCCTTGTTTTCACGTGTTTCCCTCAGTGAAACATTTCTAATATATTATAAACATTAGCAAAAAACCTCATTCTTTTTCAGGTTAATGAGCAATAATTTTCGTAGGCTATTCTGCATGAGGAAGGGTTCTTGTTGCAAGCCTTCCTGCGCTGTCCGTTACGGTAATGGCCAGCTGTGTGTCACCTACTAGGCAGCCGAGTCATTGAGCTGGTACTCCGCTGCCCTTGCGAAGCAGGCCTGGGTCCCACCATCGCTCCACAGTTGTTTGATGAGTTCAACCAATTCAGAAGACATGTCGCCATCCTCCAGAGTTGTTGCCATGGCACACAGCTTCCTTTCATCTTCCTAAAGAGAAATTTCGGTAAATATTGTGCAAGCATACTGTGCCCCTCCACCGCCTTGAAGTCGTGCTTAGTTTACAATGAGTTGCAGGGGCAAAATTTCTCATTTTCACCAATTTTTCCAGGTAGCTGTGCTCGCCTGTGTAGGTAGGCATCCTTTTACAAGCTCACTTCCCTTTAGTTAGTGCCAAGGTTAGACTTAAATTGCAATACACAGAGTTTTCCTCTTTTTATTGTTTTTTTTTTGTTCATATAAGGGCTCAGTTTCATCTTACCATGGATGTTCACAAAACGTCCAACTTGGAAGGAAGGCTTTTATTGTAAGAGAGAATGGTGGCATATCAAAAACTAAATTAAAAAGGATATTTAAAGCTTAAACATTTTATAACGACATCAAAGCAGAACTATATAGCTAAACATATTTTTTAATGTATTTGGAAGAAAAATTTTCTAGCTTTAGGCCACAGTGAGAAGTGTGACAAAATGAATATAACTAGTGAGTGCATTTCCCATATGTTTTTTTATTTGGGGAAGAAGAAACCTGTAATTGAATAAAATCCCAAGTATTTTAAATGTATTATTCTGTAATTTCTCCCTTTTGCAGTCAATCCAGAAAGACTTCAAGTGATCTATTGCATTAAAAATATTTCTTTTCAGTGGTTAACAGCTTAGGAATGTACTGTAAATAAAGAACATGATTAAAATAGGGTCATTTGATACACTGTCACAGCAGTGGATAATTATAGCATATAATTCCTTCCTAGCCGTATAAGTAGACAACTGAAGTGACTTGCAGTCAATAGTTGCAAAAGTATAAATGGATCCTGAGAGACACTGTTTTGGCAGCGAGTATGTTTTATTCAAAAATAGAAAACATCTTCACAATAATTTGTAACATATTTATTTTAGGAATGTAGTATATCTTTATGTTTCAATAGAAATTGAAGTTTATGGAAACTTTGTAAAAGTCAGAGACATCAAAAAGAAAACAGTGCAGGTTTTCTAAAATGTTGCAGAAATTGAGTTACCAGGGAGAAAAAGAAAAAAAAGGGGGAAATACCCACTAGAGAATTGCCTTCATTTGAAAGAGGAAGGAGGACAGCCATACAATTGCCCTTCTACGTTAACCAACGTGGGCTCCATTTACACCCCCATCCTCTTGCTCAGTGCTGCGACCAGCAGAACTGAGTCATGCTTTCTCGTGTGTGCCCCTCATTTGTCTCCAGGGCTGCTCTCCAGGGCGCACACTTGCTCAGCTTCAAGATAAGAGTTCAAATGTTCTATTCTTCAAGATGCCACATATCATTTAATGATTATAGCTAACCTACAAGGTTGGATTTGTTGGTTGAATAGCTTACAACGAGAAGCCTTGAGCTCAGACCCTCCAGGTGTACAGTAAATGTTCACTGATTATTATGCAAAAGGCGGCACCTGTGGATTTTGATGGTTACATAAAACAGGAAGATAACGGCAGATTGAGTTTATCATAACCCTGATTTATATAATGTTTTGTTTCTCTCTGGCATTTAGACAGACTTCAGATGATTTTCATATTAAAAATAGATTGCAATGGCACTTTAGGAAGAAAAAAATACCTCTCTCCCCAGAACAGATGTTGTTCAAAATTATGTGCTGAGGCATTTTCAGGACCATTAAGAGATATTTGCAGGCAGTCCTGGAACATGGATAAACCCATTGCTTTTGAGCCCAAGATAAGCCCAGTCTTTGGGCTAAATAACTTTAAGCAGCTAAATCTGGACCAGAACGCAGCAAGAACAAAGTCCAGCTGAAATCAAAGCTTATATCAAAACAACTCAAGCTTATAAATGGCTTATGATTTTACAGAAAATGTAAGCTAAGTTTGTTTTTGGAAGAAATGGGAAATGTTTAGTGGTGATTCAAATAAATGTGACCAAAATTTCTATTTTCTTTAAAACTTGCATCCCGGTTGCTTTTATGTGGTTCTGGGGGAAAAGAAGTCAGGCACTGCAAAAATTTTGTACATCCAACTGTATTCCTAGAGGCCTATTCTGCCTATACTGTGCTATAAATGATAAACTTACAAAAGCTGTATTTTCTGCATTTGGTTATATATAATGCTAAGAAATGAACTGGGCTATTTAACAAAAATTTTCAATGCCCAATTCCCGAGGCTGTGAAATCTCTTGAAAATAATGTCTAGGAAACTGGCGTAGATGATTGATAGAAGAGGAGTGAACATGTATAAACCTCTCAGAAAGGTTAGCAGGGCTGAAAAAAGAGGCTGAAGTACCGGGGCACAGGCAGAACATATCTAAATTACAGATGGCAAACAGAGTCTGGACCACGAAGTGGGTATTAGAGGCTGAGCCAGGACTTGTGGCTAGGTGCTGCAAGGTTCAGCTGTCTTAGGCCATGTAGACTGGTAGCTGGGTCCTCATGTGGTACACGTCTATCACAATTGAGCAGACAGGCCAAGTTGCAGCACATTCACACTGGCCTGTTTTCTGTGTGCTGCTTTTGGGCACTGTTACATTTATTTGAATGACTTGCATTCATGGACCCTTAAAAGAATACAGGAAGAAAACATTTAGTTTCTATTTTGTCAAATGACTGTATGAGCTTCAGTAACCTCTGAAGCATTTGTTTACCATTTTTGGGTCAAAGTAGCACATGTCATTGTAATGAAATGTAGACTTCTGGAAGAAGCAAAGCTCTTTGAGATAAGTGGATGTAATTCCCTCTAAGATAAACCCCTAGGGAACAGGCAGAATTTGCCAAAACTGGAACAAGCTGATATTCTGACAGGCCTTTGAGAAATTCTCAGCAAGGTCTGAATTACAGGCAATAGGCTAAATTGCACTGAGAAGAAAAGTATGTGTTTTTCCTTTACTTCTCTCCCTGAAAATTCAGCGTGATTGCCAGAAGATAGCAGGTCTTCTCTACTGTGACTTTTTCTGTGTGCACTTACGCATAGGATTGCTAACCGTGTCAGGAAGGTCAGACTCCACTTTTCTGCAGTGCCAATGGGCCAGTGCTGCACCCGTACAATGGGGAGGTCTCTGCTCAGGAGCAATGCCAAACTGAAATATTCCCAGCATGTCTAGATGACCCTTCCTTACATGGCTGAGCCCCAAGGTTTGTTCATAAAAGGGAAATATTTATTACATTTCCCAATAGCAATAAATGACTAAGCAGCTAAGAAAAGGTTCTTTTTTATTCTTTCTTATGTCTTTGCAAGTTGAACATTTCTTTTGTAATAAACAAAATGGCAGTTTATGCAAAGGTTAGGCCTCAGGCATCAGTCTTGAGAAAATAAAAATAATTAGGGACATCTTGTCACATATAACTCAAGCAGTACTTAGTTTCCACTGTCATAAAGCAAATACTGAACCCACTTTGTTCTACTAGTCTCTACTATTATATTAAAAAAAAAAATATTCTAACGCCTATGTCAAGAGAAAGGGTGTCATACTCACAATTCTAGCTGGGTTTTCATAACTGATTCCTAACTTAGTCATTGCTTTCACGATAGACAGGATAGACTGCACTGTGTTACTGTAAATGACAGGTCTGAACTCCATGCATTCTTGGTAGGTGAAACCCTCTTTATGGATGATCCTGGTGCAAAAATAGAAAACAAAACGTTTTACGGGATGCATTAAAAAAAAAGAAAGCAATGAAAAGTTGGATCAGATGCTTTTGTGGTCAGCCTGAGAAAGAACTGAATCCATCTGGCCCTTGGAAAAGCATTTGTCAATGGTTGATCTGCCGGTTCTGCTGGAACAGGTAAACAACTTAGTTTCTACAACTATGTGAGGTTAAATTTAAGAGGCTAGGTATTGACTTCCCAGTCTGAGTGAACAGGTATTGGTTTTTTGCCTTGTTGGTCAATATAAGATAATGTATGAATCCAGAACAAGACCCAAGCCCATTCCTGCGGATACAGTGCAAGATGCATAGCTGTACTTAGATCCCAAATCTTTTATTATTGGAATCTAGAATGTTAGTTGTGGGCTGTCACATTGCTTGTTTAATCATTCTCATTTTTATCCAGAATCTTACCTAGAGTAGAAAAATTATTGCAAAAAATATTTCTACACTGTGATGTACTTCCTCAAAGAAACAAAAAATCTTTAATATTTCTTTGTACAGCAGGTGCAATTTCTAGTTATTGAGAGGAGTTACCATTATTATCTACAGGCTTTGAGGACATACATATTACTCCAGAGGATTTGGCCTGTATGCCAGAGGACAAAGAACCTTAGCAGTTAAATTCAATTAACGTAATTATAATTTCATAATCCTCCTTGGCTGGAGAATGGCATCTGGTTAAAGTTCTCCAAGATCAGCGTGCAGATTATATCATGACTCAGAGACATCTTTTTCCATGAGCTGTGAAAAGGGATGAAAACTTCGCCCGTTTCGGTGTAGCGTACCCTCACTGAACAGATACCAAACTGCTTTGGCTGCTGCTGGAACCAAGGTTTTATTCTGCCTCACCTCAGTTGTTCAGAGATGAAGGACATGTTATTAAATAAATAATTTCTGGGGTTTGGGATTTGTTCTTCTTTCCCTCTCTCTTGCCAGAAGTATAGTCTGAACAGAGCTATACAAGCAGAAAGGGGTGATGTGAAAGGATCTGACAGGTTAGCCCAAAATGAGTATAGGCGTGTGTCTTGGGGAGACTTTCCTTTCAAGGGGAGAAGTCAGCCCTGTCAGAAAATAATTCACTTACACACACACACAAAAAACCCAGATCACAACTGAATGTCTCTTAACATCTCTCTGATTTATGGTTGTCAGAAAATTCAAAAGTCGCATTCTTGTGTCTGTAGGAGTAGCACCTGGAGATAAAAAGGGTTCTCTAAAGGTTTCCCCAATCACTTCTAGACCAGACAAATCTATAAACTCTGTTTTGAAGCTTTGTTTTTTTGAATGCTGTTTCCAGCATGAATTCAAGCAAATCTGCAAGATTCAAAGGAAACCTATTGAACTTGGGAGAAAGAAAAAGGGGAGCTGTGTTATGCAGTCTGGTATACTACTGAACCTTTTTTTGCCATCCTCTGAAATATCCATGCATCCCTGTGTGAACACAGTGATTTGAATGAAATAATAAGACTTGTTCAGAGGGGAGGCTTATTCACTTGCTGGAGTCTAATGTAGCTCCATGGTAGTGCACTGGATAGCCTGGATTGCTGCTTGGGGATGGCCTGAGCAACGTCCTGTGTGTTAACTGCCACGGAGTCCAGAGCTCCCCCCTGGTTTAGGTGCCCTCCCTTAATGGTCCAGGTCACCTTTAACAGCTTTAATTTCAGTTGCCATCAATGTTGAACCTTGCACTGGTACTTAAGCATATTCTTCTCATTCTTGCCCTTAATATCTGTGAAAGCAGCAGCTTTTCTATAAATAATGGAATGAAATTTTCACATGATGAGGACAAGGGGTAACGGGTACAAGTTACTCCCATGGAGATTCCAATTGGACAGGAGAGGTAAATTTTTCACAATGAGAACAGTCAATCATTGGAATCATCTCCCCAGGGAACTGGTTGACTCCGCTATGCTGAACATGTTTAAGACTCATCTGGACATGGTGCTGGGCCATCTCGTCTAGATTGTGCTGGGAAGGTTGGACCAGATGATCCCTGAAGTCCCTTCCAACCAGGTATTCTATAATTCTATGAAATACATAGAAACTCAGACTCCATGAAGTACATGAACTTGGTGTGTCTCACAGCGGTGTCCGTAACAGGATTTCTAGAGAAGATGGATGTTTTGCCCGTGGCTGCAAAAACCTGGGATGAGACAGAAGGAAAGACCCTAACAGTCCACAAATTGCTATTTTCTATGTTGTTTTCATGCTTTCCCTTTGAAGAACAAAGAGAGGAAGAAAATATAAGATTCTGAAATAAAATTAGATTCTGTAATTACAGAAAGAAAACTTGGTTTTGCTTGAGGCTTTTCATGGTTTTTGCTGTGTGTTTTTTGTTTTTTGTTTTTTTTTTTTTAAATAATTTATTTATGTCCTCTGGCAGAAGGTACGTTAGCCAGCCTGTTAAATCAGTAGTGAATTTTGCTGCTTTTATTAAAGATCTGTCATTCTTAAGGAAGGATTGTAAAACAGGCTGACATCTTGTATGGCCAGAAGGGGCATTTTAGCAAATGGAAAATTTTGTTCCCTGATCCTCCTTGAAAAAATAAACAACCTTTAAAAAATAAATGCAGGATGCTGAAGGCATGAGGTGTTAGGCTACCAGTCATAATATCTAAATTATGTTTCTGTTGGAGGAAAAAAGTTAGTCTCTTGTTTTTTTTTCATGCAAGGAGGGCTTCTCACCAGATAGGTGGAGTTGATTCAGTCTCAATAAGAATGATGAGTTACAAAATATTTTGTTTCCTCCTTTTCATTTGCTGAATTATTTATAGTAGGTTTGTACTGCTAACTTAGGGCACAGCACAGAAATACCCAACTTGATTTTAAAAAGGTTCGATTACACATTGGAAATGATCTAGTCAGAAGCACAGAGCTCCAGAGAAGCTTATTTTTTTTTTCCTTTTTAGTTATCCCTCTTAACCATCCTGGCCTCTTTAGGGCCTTGCAGCATATCTATATTTTAAGCATCAGAAAAAATTGTGCAAAGCTTAGTCGAAGGATTTAACTTTGGTTAAAATATTCAGTCTAGGAAGAATGAGGTTTATGAATTAGAAAATTATATTAATAGGAGTAAAATTACCCTGATTTTGGTGGAAAATTGTATTTTCAGCAAAATTATTTCTTTTGTAAGCAGCTATCAGTCTTCTCTAGAAAATGTTATGCTTCATTAAAAAAATTAATAACGGAAATTTTCTTTTTGCTGAAAAATTTCCCTTTTTTAAAAAAAAGTCCGTAGTTGTGGCAGAAAGATGACATTTTATATGAAAAATGATAATTTTCATGAACAGTTTTCTTGTAAAATAATTCATATTTGTGATCAGCTTGACGGCTCATAAATGCACAGGGTTTTAAAGATAACTCTCAGCTTTGCAGCTTTTTGCCCCCTCCTTGATGCTGTTAAGGGTTTTCAGCCTTCTTAAAGCGGTCAATTCAGAAGAATATCTTTAATCTGCCTCTACTTGGGGAAGCTTTCATCACAATACATTTCAATGGTTTGCTGAATAGGGAGGGTCTCCTAACTGGAACTCAAAACAGAAATAAAATTATCCATCATTTAACTGGAACAAAAAAGTTAGCAAAGTATTTGATGGATGATTCTGAATCTGTCTTATTACAAAATGACCTGTTTGTGTAGTAGAAAATTGCTCTTATGATGTAACATCTTTTACTTCACTCTTTAAAATGCATTGGTAAAGATATGAGATAGTTAGGAGAACTTAAATTCCGAATAGTATTACTGATTTCATAAAACAGTCTGCTTGAATTTTACAAAGGAAGCGATTGGTGCTTACGACGTGGGGTCACGTCTAAACAGTTGCAATTCCTGTGTAATTTTTTTCTGTATTTAGACAGGTCTAGGAGGCAGTCCTGGACACTGTCTATGAAAATAAGGCTAGATACAACAGCAATATTTTAGCAGGTTACACAGTGAAGGAGGAGTTTTGCTGCCTGTGTAAACATGATCTCTCGAACTCACGTGGATTATCTATTTAAACCAGATACATGATTAGTATTTTGGCTACCCTTAAAAGAATAACATGAATGAATTTAGTTTTAGCCTGTTTTGCTATATGTGAAAATATTGCGATAGTAAATTGTAAATGGACACACACACACACACAAATTTGACCTTCCTCTGAAGCCTGGGGAAATAAAGCTACTGAGTTCAATCTGTGTGGCACCATGTGCACTTTGGACAAACATCTACAAGTATTCTTGTAGTAGATTTATGGTGCAGTCACAAGATCTTCCTAACCAGATACTCGGTCCAAATTTGAACAGGGATTTCTGCATTTGAGCTTGTTTTTTCCCAGCTTGATTACTGTGTGAAAACTTTTTGGGGTGATACTTTCCTTGCTAAAAGCAGTTCTCATGACCATCCCTACCCATGCTAGATGATGGGTAGCAGCTGCTCACTGTGTAGGCTGGTGACTAAATATGTTCTCACCTGGCCTGTGGGAGACCTGAGAACAATCTTTCTGACCTCTGGCAAGAGCTGGAATAAGTCTGTGGAGACCAAGAACGATCTACAGAGCACAGTTTGGGGGAAAAAAAAACCACAACAAACAACAACAAAACTTTGCATATTATACAATGTGAATACTTCAATATTTTCTCTTGCAGTACAGTGAAATCAAATGAAATTAGTAGGGACTAAATTAAAATTGAACAAAGGGAGATGATTCACATCATATGTAATTAAAGTGTGGACTGACTTGTAGAATATTGGTGATGTTATATAGTTTACTTTTGTTCAAAAAAGTTTCAGGAGAAACGTGAGCATGAATTAACTGAGGGCTATTAAACACAGTGATACCAACTCTGGTTCAGGATGGTGCCTGAGTCACAGATCATCAGATACTATCAAGGTATCCAGCGCATTACTGTGTGTTTGCTTATCTGGTTTGACGATCTTCCAGAAACATCCTTCATTAGCTACTGCAGGAGACAGGATACTAGGCTAGGTGGATCTGCCACGGCTGGTTGTCTTATGCATTCATGTTCTCAGTACAGTACTGTAACTCCTACCAAAGCCGATGAAGAAGCTCCCCTGGTCCTCACTCAGGAGCTGGACCAGTGCATGATTTGATCAGACAGATTTGATTACCAATCCAGCTGTGTGTCATAGTCATTTTGTATTTTTCTTTATGTGGTTGAATGAGAACTTGATTTGAATGATGTTTCTTTGCATTTTATTCAAATAAGCATAAATATTGTAATAAGACATTAGCTAGATAGCTTATACTACAAATATCAGATTCAACAGCTGATATGAATATTCATATACTTACTTCATTTGCTTTACAATCGTGCTCTTTCCTGACTCTCCAGCACCTGCAGAAGGGGAATGTTGAGAAGATGTGATTGATACATGAATAAGTAGCAAGTATTAAAAATAACTCTCTGCAACACAGAATTTTGTATCTATGAAGAGACATACAGCTGTTTTAGATCCCCATTGTACTAACTATAGCCCTCACTAGTGCCCATTCAGACTTAAAAAGAATGAAATATTGGTAAAAGTATTGATTCTTAAAAGGAAAGGGACATTTGAAAAGAAAGGAACATTCATTCAATTAAGAGAAAAATACAGACTTTTTAATTATCAAGGAAATAGAATATGGGTCATATTTTGATTTCATCCCCAGCACATGGGCAGAAAGACATGAACAAACTGCAGCTTCTGACACTGGCCCTTCATTATGTGGTTTGTAGCTGCTCATTTAATGTGTATCATGACCTTTTGTAAGCCAAACCATCCAGTTCCATGATCTTCAACCAGCTCCTTTGAGCAACTGGAAAAACAGAGCGTGGAGACATTCATGTGGTCTAGCTCATGATATGCTGGCAGCACATGAGCAAATGTCTTGACACTGGTGTTCTGCCACTTCCCCTGCCCCGTGGTCTACTATGAAGTAGTGTGCCTGGAAGTGGGAAACCAGAGCAATGCAACAGATCCAGCTTGGGAACGATTCTGCAGGAAATCCCCATAGCTGGCGGGGAGGTACAGGCATTTGCTTGCACAAGCAGTTGCAGAACTAGGGCATAGATTTGGTCAGATTTTGTACAGTTAATTTGCCCTTCTTATCTCAGTCAAAGTGAGTAATCACAATGCAAACCTTCTCTATTGGAAATCAGTGCGAGTGACTATCATCAGTGGTGAGGCTTGGCAAGAACTGCCAAACAAGAGCCAGATTTTGAAAGCACCTGGAGAGAGGATTTAATTTTGACTGCGAATCCATGGGACAGGATTCCTCACTGCTTTTCTTTTTGCAGATTATCATTTACCTCACTGGATGGTGTCAAATACTTTTGACAAAAGAGGAAATCTGGGGCATAGCTATTTTAACTGAGGGCATCTCAGTGAATGGAACAAACTGATTACAGACTTTCCAAACAGATTTTGTAAAGCTAATAACATTTAAATGACAGGGATTAATTTACTCAAATGAATCACAACAGACAGCCAACCATACGCAAAGCATTTTCTAAAACCCATGATGTGAACGGCAGAAAGTGCGAGAGAAAAACAAGCCTATGCAAAATGGGCTGATGCTGCCATCTGCCACAGTTTGGAAAAAATGCAAATTTGCCATAGATCATCTATTATTCCTTCAATGCCCTTCTGAAGAACTTGGTAAAGCCCTGTCAGCAAGGTGGCGTTTCCTACCCTTTTTGTAGGGAAGAGAGCAGGCTGTGCTGAGAATTCGTACATTCACCTCATGGAAAGATGCCGGGAAGCACAATATACAAATGAATCTCTCTTCCAGATCTAAGGCAAAGTTAAAATAGAGTGGGAGGCATAATTTATGTCTTTTGGGTGCATTTTTCTACCTCTACTCATCTTTAATTTATGATCCAGTAATGCCTTTGTCTGAACAACAGATGACTCTCAGACTTTAGCTTCACTCTGGAGTACCGTGTTAGTTGTAGCAGCATTTGCACCCCAGGAAATGGGTCAGAAACAATTTGCTTTACACCTGCTTCCTTTCTTCCTTCCACCTCCTGTGCAGCCTTCTCCTCTGGCCAAGCGCCTGGGATGGGAGAGCAAGGACAGGGCTGTGTTCCACCCACCGCAGTAGCCTTCCGCTCGCAGAAACAGCAGCAAGAGTGCATCATGATAGGCCTTACGTGTCTGCATGGGGATCTGAAGGCAGCTTCCCTTTAGGAGGCAGTGAAAAGCTCAACTACAATCGAGCCCAGATTTTCTAAATAGAGGACAAGAACTTAGGCCAAACTTAGTCCTGTCCTGAAGCTTGGAAAGTTTAATTGCCTTTTGAAAAACTCTCTGTCACTGTGAAGATTTAGAGCTCAGCCTAATAGGGACCAGGGATAATATGCCATAGCCTGTATTTTGCATTTCACATGTTTAAGATCTCGCTTTTTCAAATTTACCTCTGATTTCTCTACCTCTATTTGGATGCCAGGTTTCCTTGAGATGGATAAAGGCACAGAAAATAAAGGCACAGAAATCTCAGTCAGTACCTGAAACTTTGGCCCTGCTCCTGGGAGCTGAAAGATGTCTCCACTGCCAGTAAGGTTGATGGAAGTTTGCTCCCATACTTCTTCCCAGAGATCACTTTCACCATGCCCTGGGCATGCCACATCCACCTTCAGCGTGGTGCTGTACACCCAGCAGTCTGGCAGACTGTAACCTGCCTCTCTTCTTGTTTTGGATATTTCAAACTGTACCCCACCACATCCCAAGCCCATTATGTTTCTGGGCACACTGGGGCTGCAGAGGAAACTCAAGAAGTTCTGTTGGCGTGGCTGCAGGCACCGAGCCACAGAGGAGCCATCCCCCAGCAGCCTGACATGAACTGCCCCACTGCTCTGGGACCACCTGACCTCTTCCCTGCAGGCCACCAAGGCATATAGACAGAGCAGAAATAGAGAAAAAATTGGAGGTGGCTTGAAAGCCAGTGAGAATCTCTCAAATTCAAGGGAAAACAGAACCCAGGACCCCAGCTGTAACTTGACATCACTGGTTTTCCAAGCAGAATTTGTTTGAGTAGTTGTGGAAACTGGAGAGCATATGAGCCCTTTTCAAGGTTAGCATCTGCTGAGCTGTTGAAAAAGGTTCTTTTTATATATTAAGCTGCTTTTGTGACTCAAAACAAGAGCTATTTTTTCTTTACAGTTATTATTTATGTGGAAGTAAAGGTTTGGTTTAGGAAAGTTTCCACAAGTAAAGGTAAGAAAATTTAAAAAAGTACTGCCTGAATATTTTGTTTGAAACCTGTCACAAAAGCCACTGACAATGACATAAAACAGCAAAAAGCAGGAAAAAAAAATCTTCAAATTAAAATCAGAAAAGGTTTCACACCTCTGCCTAAGCCTTGTCTGTGCCATTCAGAGCTCTGGAAACTGTGAACTAGGGTTGAAATTGTATCTTTCTGGTCCTTTTACCAAACTGAACAAACTTTCTCCATGGGAGAAAGAAACTAAAGAAAAGATCTAAGATCTAACCCTCTTTCTTGAGGGAATAAGGTCCCTAAATGCTGCCCCACCCCCAAAAAAAGAAAATCAGTGTATTCCAGTCAATAGCATTATTGGGACATCTTTGTGCTCAGAGTCTTTCCTTCCAGTGCAGGTGTTAATAACAGGAACTTAAACCTGACTTCAGTACTACAGTAACTGATTCATTTAACTGGTTTTAAATGTCTACACTATAAACTTCTACTTTCAGGCTACTTATCAGAGACCTCTTATAGTCAGTGGAGAAAAATATTTGCTACTAAAACTAAAACAAACAAACAAACAAACAGCTTCAATTTTTGTCACCCTAGAGCAGATGTTTAAATTAAATTGAGTGAGTCATGCCCTAAAAGTGAGTAATTCTCAATAAAAAGCTAAGGATGACCAACTCAAATGAGGGTGAGTTTTGTCCTGTCACTGAAAACTGTAGACAATGAGGCCATAGAGTTATACTTTGAAAAGAAATAAGTTCAAAGTTTAATGATATTTAAACTGAAGCTAAGTTCCTATTTCTGTGAAACATCACTGTGAGCATCAGCTGTTTTGGCTGGGTTTCAAATGTGTGCTGTACTTTGCACACAAATAGATTGCAAGCTGGCTTCCTACAAAGCATATAAACTGCATGTGATGTGGTAGGTAAGATATGGCCCTGGTACAAAGGAAATAAAACTTTCACCTTGGAGTTTGTTCCAGACTCATAAAACAATCTGAGTTTTTGGAAGTAGAAATATGTAGAGGCTATGTTTGTGGCCAAGGTGGCAGGGTGGGATGGCCTTAACAACAGGAACACGTGGCACAGAGGAGGTAGTCCTCCTGGCTCCTGGACAATTTGCGAAGAACGGCAGAAAGTGTCATCATTTTCCATCTTCCTCAGCTTGTATGTGCTGATTTTATGTGCATGTCATATAAACTGTAAATTATCACTTCAACACAGACAATGTGTTTGCCCAGGTCCTGGAACTTAACATAAATAAATGTGGTGTCTGGTTTCTGAATATGATTTCATTTTTGTAAAAGGACCTATTGGAGGACACAGATATTAAATAATCCTCTCAGGAAGTGGTCAGAATACTTTTTTTTTTTTTTTTACAGCTTAAGGGTAAGAGCATAATGATCACACTGAAAAACTTATGATATACATATCCATTTTTTTCTGAGTATTTTCTACCAATCTGCCTACTGCAAAAGAAACAGTGGTGACATTTGGTCCATAATAGAGGCAACATATTCTGAGTGAAGAGAAACCCTGGACTAGGGTAGGACTAGGCTGGTTGGCTTGAATGGAGCTGCCCTTGATTCATGAAGTGTAAAATTTGAATCATTTCTGAGATCATCTCAGAGGTATGGAAAGATAACAGGCCCAGATCTGAATGTGGCAGATTTAATCCTCTCCTATCTGGCCATTTCACTGGTTGACTGTGGAAGGGGCTATGTGCTGCCCCTTATACCCGTTGCTTCAGCAGCTGTGATTCCAGGTGTTCAAGAGACACTTTCACTCTAGCTGTGTAATAGGCTCAAAACAGACTCATGTTTTATTCACCTCTTGCTTTTTTAAGAACAAGAAAATTCAAGCTGTTAAGTCTATATTTTTTTTCCCCAACATGTTTTTTACCAAGTCCTTGGTTTCCTGTGATTTTTCATAATAGTTCCCAGGAGAAAAAATCTTCCAAAACATTACCCACTGACAAATTTGAATCTTTACCATGTGTGACATGAATAAAGGAAGATATTATAGAAATATACAGTAAAGAAGACTTCAGCAAAAGTATTTCAGATTCTGATGATCATCTTGCCTCATGAAAAGAGTGCTTGTATAGTCGATGGAACTGAAATATGTTCAGATTTGAAGTGAATGAACTAGAAGTCTTTTTCACATAGCTTGCAAATAATCTCAAAGTATTTTACTAAAGTTATCTTGAGAATGTGATATTAATAGTGTCAGAAAAAGACTGCTTGTATACATTGGGAAACATTAAAAACTCATGTTCTTAATACTAAATACATACATGTGTTCTGGGAGGAGTGATTTAGTTTGTGTCCTAGTGTAAGACAGCCTCCAACACTGCCAAGACATGAAGGCTTGAAGATCAAAATATATCATGAAACTACTTATCTTATAAATGCCTCTTTATCTTATAAATACATCTTTATCCTATAAATTCCTCTTAAAGGATTTCTTACCTCTTCCTCATGTATCAGTGTTGGATAGGGTCAGAGACGGGATGCTGGAGTAGATGGACCCTGGTTCTAACTTGATAGGCCAATTCCTTTTTGTAAGAGTATATAGAAAGTATTGAAACTTTATGAAAATTTAAATGAAAATATTATTCTGTTTTTTGACGAACTCAAGCTTGTCTCAGTAGGGGCAATATTTTATATTAATGTGGCACAGAAAATTTTCATACTCTCCACTGGACTGAAAAGCTTTGTAAACCGCAATCTGAATACTGATGGTACATAAAGTGTATCAAACTGCTACTTTGCTATTATTATTTGAGAAACCTGCATGGTTGTGTTTTTCTCTTATTTCTGTATTAATAATAATAGTTAGATTCTCAGCAGGTATAAATAGGCTTTTTGCATAAGATACAAAACAACAGAGTTAAGCCGATTTACTTTATCGAAGGGATCTAGCTAAGTCTGAATAAATGTCAGTTTAAAAACATTTGTAAGGATTGTGGTTACAATGGAGAAAAAATAGAAACATTTTAATGATCAAAGGCTGTTTTTCTATTCATTTGATGAAACCAATGTAAACTGTCATAGCAGGCATCATACTGCTAGAAAAAAAAATATTAAGATGGTGGCAGTGTTATTGTGCTTTTGGATATTTCTTGTAGGCTACGCAGTACCGTGGAAAAAAAGAGAGAAGAATAAAGCTGTATCAAGAAAGAAATATTTTTTTTTTTGCCATTACACCCGCTGGCTGTTAATAAATTGATCATAGTGTGGATTAGAAGTAGTAGGCTGTAAGAATATTCATCTGTATTCATCTCATTTCATTACCTTCCATTCCACTCTCCACAGCATCATTTTTATACATTGAAAAAAGCCCTTTTAAGTCACTTTCTGCTTCTGTAAAAAATGAAGTGCAACAGTTTGGAAAATAAACAATATCAATACCTTGTGACACCTATGGATTTTCTATGTAACCAGTTATGTCACTTAATCCTGCAAATGAATGCATATAGATCCATGGGAAAAAAAAAAAAAAAGATAAGTCTGTGCTACATTCTGTGTAATTTCTCAATCTTTTTAAAGTCAAGGATTTATAGTATTTAAAATTGAATACATGCAGTGACATGGCCATTTCCAGCCTGTTCCTTGTGACTTAATTTGTTGCTTCATGAGTGTTCACAACTAGAAAGCCTTTTGTGCATGTATTACAGGATTGCCTTCTTCAAATAAAATAGTGAGAGTTGGGAAGTTCACCATACTGAAATGTAATTCCAGAACAAAATAAGCCCTCAGTGGAAAAACATTATGAACAATTTCCATTCTATTTACCCAACAGCAGTAGTTTGACTGTCCTGGCTTCCCTCTGTGCATCTGCTTGGAGTTTCTTTTCCAGCTCCCTGGATCTCCTGGCCGACTCCTTGCTCTCAGAACTGGCTCCACTGCCCATCTTGAGGTGTTAAAAATCCTCTGTTTGTCCAGCTGATTTGCTTCTTATCAGACTAGTTGCTTTAATTCAGAAGGACAACAGCCTGTGCTTCAAGAAAATTTAAGAATCCCATTCAACCTCTGTGTTCAGTCTTCATGTTCTGTCACATGATCTGGAGATGCTACAGTCAAGGATTTACATAGGGACATAAAAATACTGTTATGATGTCATAGAATTAAAATTAACCATTCAAGAGCAAAACCAAGGTCTGGATAGATCTCTGTCCTTCTTCAGACAGGTTCTAGCTTCACATGCTTCAAAAAAATGTGCAGAATATCTTGAATCAATAAAATTGAGAATAACTCAGCTCAAGGAAAAATTTTTCAGCTTGTGAGTTAGTGTGGGTGCCCTGAAGAAAAAGAGGTTTATATGTTTTTGAAGCATTCACATAATTTGTTTTTCAACTTTTTCAGTGGTCATATCTCTAAATATATGTATTCTTTATGTAAAAATGACAGGATTTGGATTTATATAGTTAAGACATATTTTGCTTTGAATTATTGATTAACATGCAGAATGTTTGCTGCATTTTCATATTATGGCAAGTGCATTTATTTTCTTGTAATGGTAATGGGTAATTTACTGCAATTTGTAACATCTTTGGGATACTTTTGTGCAGCCGTTCCTTGATAAATGCCATAGTCTTTTCCATTTTTCTATGACGTTATTAGCAGTTATCAGTTTTGGCTGAAAGCACCACAACCTTTTTGTGTAAGGAAGGACACAGGTCAGATTCTCCGCACTGATGCAATAATTTCATCTCAGTTTCTTCATAGTACAATAGTAATATAGAAGTATTTTGTGCAATACGGTGGAAATATTACTTGGCATGTGGTGTCAGCAGTATACTGAGAATACTCTACTGTAATACTGTGGTAGTGGGTAAGAGTAGAATTACTGTCAGGACTAAAGGATCCAAAATACTTTCTTTTTGTCTCCTTCTCTTCAGATTAAGAATTTCAATAAAATAAATGTTATTATTGTGCAATACTGTAATTAATTGTAATATTATGTGTATTCACTTTATAAAGTATTTCAATTATATAAAACATGCAAACATAAAAATGATATTACAATTTTAAAATCATTGACTAGTAATAGTCAACAGCACTCTGACTGGCTTATAAGCTTTAGCCTGGAAATAATGTTGAAGGGAAATATGAGCATACAGGTCAGTTTGAGTGATGTTAGACATATTTGAGGTCAGAGGATAAATGAGGAAGAGGGCTAGAGGCAAAGCATTTAACTCATTCTGTCCTATAGAAAAGCAACTTTCCCACAGCAGAAGTAGGTGGACTCCAAATGTTACAGGAAGGCAACTGGTACTGGATGGGGAAGATGGCAGTGAGAGGAATAAAGATCATCAGTGGTACTAATGAGTTGTGTGCCATTAGAGCAGGAGAGAGCTGTCTTCTGAAAAAAGACAGGTCCTTTGCTATGCTTATCCCATTCAATGTGAGTGTCTTCTCAAACTTAAAATTAAGACCACACACTGCAATAAAGATCTGAAGTTGTTCTTTCTCAGTATATGCTTCTCAATCAGTGGAGCAGGAAGCCCTGTTTTCAGTCTCTTTGCACTGCTTTGCCAGAAATGAATAATCAGTCTTGTTAACAGCTGAGTTTTTGCATATATATTTACAATGCAAGAAAATGCTGTTTTGTTAAGCCTATATTCTTACTTTGTTTATTCTTTAAAATAGGCCAGAATAAGGTCTTTATACAGCCACAGTAACAACTGGTTTGTTTAAAAAATGAAAATAAGCAGCTTCAGAAGTGCGATATGAGTGCCAGGTGTCTGTTTATCAGAACCGTAGGCAAGTACAGTGCTCCTATGGATTTCAGTGGGTTTGAAAAGTAAGTCTGAGCATTTCTGAACACTAACTGAATTTACAAATTAACTGATACAGTCACAAATCATGGAGAACATCACCATCTCCAGATTAAGGGCCCATTTTACTACTGAGTTGTTCCAGGCATATATTAGTATAGACTCTACTCATTTTGCATTTAATTTTTACAGTATCAAGCTGGAATAGTGTAATGGTGAACTAGGTCCTATTCAGTTATACCAGAAGAAAATGAGTGTAAATAAATCAAGATAGAAACCTTTACATCATTTTTCCTAGATGGAAAGCAATGGAAAATCAAGTGTGCATCCCATAGCATAAGTTTCCTACCATCCTCTGTTGCTATTATGACTACATACAGGAATTGGCTTTAAATAAGTAGGTGTCTGATACAAGCAGGCTGTAAACAGAATAAAGAAATAAAAATACAAACAATTACTTCATAAACATACAACATCTATAACATCTTATCCATTTGATTTGCTCACTTCTGCCTTCAAACTCTTAACTAAATAGTTTACTGAAAAAACAACAATCTGTTTCTATTTCTCAGGAGACTCAAAGAAGATTTAGGAGAATGAACAGGATTCTGTTCTGCTTCGGACATCTTCATTATCATCATCATCATCATCATCATCATCACTGACTGTATTCTGATGGAGGAACTCGCTGGTGATGATCAAGCCAGAAGCAATAGACACTGCCTTACAGGGTTCAGTTTAATCTAAAATGTCTTGTGGTATCTTTTCTCCACCTCTTCTAGGTGCAATAATAAAAATATTGCCTCTCCCTGCCTCTCTTCTATTGTATCAGCCACGTATATTTGATATGGAAGCCTTTGAAAGACAGTAAGTCTGGAAAATGTTCCCTTGAAATATAATCACATTTTATAAATAATATTAACTTTACGTTTTTGGAGTTGTTTCTAGTGATGCACTCTAGGTGGTGCTGATAATCTAGAGTGTACACTAAAGACATTCTGTAGTTAGTAAGAGTTATAAGAGACGTTCTGAAAGGCTCTTCCAAACGATATGTTCAGAAGTCATGGATTTGTGATTCTGGATTCCAATTCCAAATTTTTATTTTGGAATTTATATTAAAGGTGTACTGGTTTGGGATTTTTGTTTGGCAAATAATATAGATTGGTCTGTTAATAGAGTCTTTCAGTTAACTTGGGTTTTTGTTTTCAGTTTCTTCTGAAACTACTGTGCTCTTCCCAGTTAGAAAAAGAGGGATAGTTTAGGGAATTCACACCTTCTAAGATTTTCTCTCCTATTCTCTTTCCAGGTCTTTGCATTTACAAACTGTTCAGACTGGAGTCTGTTCATCTTTTCCACGTTTCATTATAACTAATGTTCTCCCTTTTCCCCGATGTAATTTGGAGGAATGACATTGATGAAAAAGGAGGAAGTTTTAGTAAGAATAGGATTCTCTAAATTTAGCAACTTTCAATAAATTTCCTTCAGTATGCTCCTGAATAAAGGAAGTCTGAAAAATCTTCAGTACAATGCCTGTTGCAATCAAAGGAAACCCTTCAGCTTTTTCAGTTGGCATCTGAATTGCTTTTGATGCACAAGAAGAAACAAAACAACTCCAAATTACTCTGTTGCACAGTGGCAACATTTAAGTGGAAAAAGAAAAGTTTCTCTTACACCCTGAACATTGACAAGCCCATCTAGACTTTTGTAACTACTGGTGTGCAGAGATATCTGCTGAATGACAGATACTCTAGAGACATAACGAAGCAGGTACAGAGACTCTTTATATGCTCCCAGTCAGCACTGGTATTATCTTGGATCCATGGTAAGCTGTATTAATGTGGCACAAAGCTAGAGCTTTTGATACGTGTTAAGAGTCAAGGTTTATTACCTCTGGCACTTGGCCACAGTCATGGGGCTGAAATGTTTATGGGTCTGAGGTACTATGTCCACATAGGGCTGTGTTTCACTATGTGATGTTTACAGTTTGGATTGTCATCTGCCTTGCACAGTGTAGGCATACCCATATTGCTTGACTACTATAAGTGGTATACCAGATGGATGTTAATCCCTCTGTGAGCTTTTCATCTCTCAGACTTGCAAGAACATAAGATAGACCTGGAAGAAGCTGCTAGGGTTAACTTCAGAACTGGCCATCTAGCCTAGTAGTAAAGTGTAACAGCTGGAGAATCTTTGGGTAGTAGATTGGTCATGGACAGCTTCTCAAGTTATCTCTTCCACTCTGATGCTTTTCCAAGGTATTGTGACTCAGTCACAAAACTGAAACTGTTGAAGCATAAGTGTTTTGTGAAGCCCACAAAAAATTGTCCAGATAAGTATCTAGCTCCTCTTGAGAATCATATCCACACGTCTCAAGCCAAAGGGAAAATGTATCGATCTCAACACCAGCTGTACTATGGCACTGAGATATCTGACATAGACCAAGTAAATGTGACAGTCATCAAACTGCTGTTACCAGCCAGCTTCATACTACTGTAAATGTTTATATAAATGACAGTAAGAGACTGAATTACTTCTGGTATTCACCATTTTGTCTCCATGATGGAAGCAGACCTTCCAGTGTTGCTGGCAGCAGGTTGTCCAGGTTCTCTGTTTTTTCCTGTAGCACTACTGCCATCTGTTCTGCCAATGCACATATCTGACTTGCTCAGTATTGTTGATTCAAGGATAGTCAGAGCTCAGACTTCCTCAGTTTCCTACTGGGGCATCCAGACACACTCCTTTGGGCACACTATCTGTAAAAATTTGGCCACAAGATCCAATGAACCTTCTGTTCACTTATCTTATATGTATAAGATAAGGTGACTTTATCAGAAAACCCCCTCTGGACTGTCTGTCCTCTCAGCAGGGGAATATATTGAAATTCGTGGTTGCAGATCAAGTTCAAAGGTCAATCTCCTGTGTTCTGTGCTGGATGAACAGTAGTTCTGTTTGAGTGTGCACAATTATAAAGTGGGATCCATTGAGTTCATTGACAGAAAAGGGTGAGATGTTATGGGATGGAGGTCCGTTTATACTTCAGATACCTATGCTGGAGGAGTCCAAACAGAATACATTAACATGAAAGTCAGGTGATACCTGAGATATATCATTCATCAGCAAGGGTGGCTCATCTTTTCCTAATCCCCCCTTCTCCAGACAAACACCTAAGTGGTCCTTTACTGAAATGATTTTATATTAAAATATAGAGGTTCCTTAAGAAAGAGGCATTGCAGAGTGTCATGTCAAACTCCTTGAGGCCTTAGGAACTCATAGACTAGCTTCATAAATTAAAGTTAAGGTAAAACTAGCTGAGATTTCTCTAATAAAATAATAGAACAATTTAGGTTGGAAGCGATCTCCAGAGGTCTCTAGTCCAACCCTCAGCTCAAAGCAGAGACAAGTTTAAAGTTAAAATTTCTCAGGGCTTTGCATTGCTAAATTATGAAGTATCCAGAGACAAAAATTTCACAGCCTCTCCAGGTAGCCTGTTCCAGCGCTTAAACACTCAGTGTGAAGAATT